CAGTTTCTGATCTCTGTTTTCTTCCCAGCTTCTTTTAGTCCCACCCAGGCAGCAGAAGTAGCTTGGAGATTAACATAATATCCATTTACACCCACTTTGTATACACTCCAGCCAGCGTACTTAATAGAACGAGCAAAAGATCGCTAATATCTGTATTTGAATAAAATGTGTTTTTGATATTTCTTTTTTTCTCATTTACAGGGAGTTGATTTTCATATGGAGTAAACTTCAGCTTAAGTCTAATCCTTCAAAACAAGTTTTTGTAGATCAATGCTACCAGCTTTTAAGAACAGCAACTAATGTGAGAGTAATATTTCCTTTCATGAAAATCATTAAAGATGAGGTAAATAGGATATATTTATCCCTTAATTTTAATGAATTTTAAATGACTGTTCACCAAATCTTGAATCTTTTATGATAAAATTTATTTGAAGGGAAGGAGGATTTTAAGGCCACATTCTCCATGTATTACGTCTTCCTTTCCCCCAACCAACATGGTACTAAGGGTATACATAAGTGAAAATAACTGAAAAAAAGACAGAAAAACTGCCAGTTTGGTGTTACTTAAAATTTAATATGGGAACAACTGCTTCCCTAAGAAGCTGTTACCTCTTTTCTTAAATAAGTTTATCACTTTTAAAACTATCCTAAGTCCTGTTTACAGACTCTTATTTGCAAATGAAATTTGTATAACCATAGGTAATACCTGCTCACTTTCACAGAAAAATATAGTTCATAGTTTTAAATTTGGTGTTCAGATAAAAAAAAACAGTGAATTTTGAGGCATTTCTGAAACCTGACACATTTTTAGAGTATTTGTTTAAAGTAATAGTGAAATCCATTACCTGTTTTTAAAAATAGTTCTGAAGTAAGTTCTTCATGGTTCACTTAAAAATGGGTACAGTTGTACATAAGATTCTTAGATAAACATGAAATGGGATCCTGCAGATCTTTTACTTTTTCCCCTCAAATATTAACAGAACTTTGAATACAAAGATAAGAAAGATAAAGCTACCCTACACTTTAGGTAGCTCCATTTAGCTGAATCTCTATGTGGGTTACTTTTAAATATATAAGAGGCATCCATTAAATAATATATTTTAAATTTTTTAATCTATTTATGCATTTATCACATTATCATGTCACTCATTAGGTGTATGACCATGTAGTGATTATATCCCTCTGATATAAAGTTAGCAGCATTGTATTCAAAGTTTTATACATCTCCTATTTACTAACTGGATTCATAGCCACCCAGGTGCCCCGAAATGATGGATTTATAGGAGGAAGCCAAAGTCAGTATAACAGATCTGATCCCATTTACATTTGCAAACATTTATTCAGAGGTCACTATAAGCCAGCTTCTATGCTAATGATAGGAGAATATAAAAAAACGAGATACTATTCCTGTGGTTTAAGAATTCAAAGTCGGGGGGTAGGGGTATACACTAAAACAATTACGTATGTGCTTTTTATAAATAAGTATAAACTATTCTTAGTGGAAAGAATAGGGTATGTTTAACTCTGTGGGGCCAGAATGAATGGGGAGAAAAACTTTAAGAGTAAAACTGATTCTCAAAGAATGAACGGGAAATAGATAGGAATTTACTAGCTAGATAAAGTGGGATTATGATGCGCAAATTAAGGTCTGCTTATAGAACTGAAGTAATTAAGTAGGATTAGACAGCATGTAAGGGACGATGAAGACATGAGGCTGGTGGCAGGGTAGTGTTCCTCCCTGTCATCTATATTATACCAGATGCAGGCAGTTCACACACACACTTTTAAAGTCATCTATTATTGTCTTTTTCTATTCACAGAATTATTTATGTCATTCCAAATCTATTTATCATTTGAGTTGGCAATAAATTCAAGTGTAGTTTTCTTTGAGTCATCAGTACAAGTTTCAAAGCTTGAATAATTTTCAGATCATTTTCAAGTAGGTTCATTATTCTGATTTTTATTAGATTTTTAAAGATTGTAATTGCCCTGTTCATATGGGCCACACTTTTCCTCTTACGTGGATAAATAATATTATTTAATAAGTAATATTTTTAATGCGGACTTACAAGTTTCTGTAAGCAGTTATTTAAAAAATATAGTTCTTTTTAACATTGACAATGTTAAAATTGATAAATGCTTTAAATACATTTAATTCAGCCTTCTGCCTCAAAATATGAGATGGGTACCTAAAATAAATGGGGCTGGATCTGTTATGAGGCATTTTGTATAATGGTTAGTAAGAATTGTCAAATTTGAAAATTAAATAAATTAGAAGCTAAAATGCTGTCTCTTCCAGATTATTCTCAAGTTAAAAAGAAAGATTTTACTTAAATATTAAAAATTGCACATTTGTAATACAGTGTTTATTCAGCTTTCATTTCAGAGTTGTATTTTATTTTATTTTTTTAAAAGATTTTATGTATTTATTTGTCAGAGAGAGAGAGAGCACAAGCAGGGGGAGCTGCTGGCAGAGGGAGAAGCAGGCTACCTGCTGAGCAAGGAGCCCAATGTGGGACTCTTCCCAGGACCTCAAAACGTAACCTGAGCTGAGGGCAGACACTTACCCGACTGAGCCACCCAGATGTCCTCGAGAGTTGTATTTTAAAAGGATAAAAGTATAATAGTTTTTTTTTTTTTTTTTTTTTACAAAGGTACTTAGTATTATTTTTCCTTTTCTAGGTTGAAGAAGATGGCCTACAGATCTGTGTGGAAATATGCGGTTGTGCTCTACAACTAGATCTTCATGATGATCCCAAAACTAAATGTTTAATTTATAAAACAATTGCACATTTTTTGCCAAATGATTTGGAGATCCTCAGGATTTGTGCACTCTCAATATTTTTTCTTGAGCGCTCCTTGGAAGCTTATCATACTGTTGAAGAGCTTTACAAACGTCCAGATGAGGAATATAATGAAGGCACAAGTAGTGTTCAAAATCGTGTTCGTTTTGAATTGCTTCCAATTTTGAAAAAGGGATTGTTTTTTGATCCCGAATTCTGGAACTTTGTAATGATTAAGAAAAACTGTGTAGCATTATTGAGTGATAAATCAGCAGTTAGATTTCTAAATGAAAGTACACTGGAAAACTCTATAGGTAATCTAAAGAAGGCAGTGGAACAGCAAGGTTTTGATGAAGGGCTGGACTTTCTTACAGACCAGAACACTGGAGAGCTTGATCCTGATGATATACCTAGAGTGCAACCTAAGGGTCACATTAATACGAAGAAAAATCTTATGGCTCTTAATGTTTCCAAAGTAGATCACAATGTCCCAAGGCATCGGTGTATGTTATGTAACAAAGAATTTCTAGGTGGTCACATTGTAAGACATGCCCAGGCTCATCAGAAAAAGGGCAGTTTTTCATGTGTAATATGTGGTAGGAAATTTAGAAACAGAGGACTTATGCAGAAGCATTTAAAGAATCATGTTAAAAAAATACAAAGACAGCAAATTGCTGCAGCCCAACAAGAGGATCAGGAAATCCCTGCTTTGGAAGAAGTAAATTATTCAGATACTTTCATTTCATTTGAAAATGGGAATTCTGGTAGTAAAGATTTGGAAATAGAGACAATTACTGCTTCCAGTGATGGAAACAAAGAAGTCATTCCTGCACATGTGGCTGAGTTCATTGAAATTCCCGTAAGTGTCTCGGAAGAGGTTATTGAAAACATAATTGAGAATGGAAGTCCTGAGACTTCTTTAAATAATGTCTCAGAGCCTTTGCCTATATGTGAGGATGACTATGAGGAGGAAGAGGATGAGGAAGGTGATTACGAAGATGACGATTACGACCTGAATCAAGAAACTTCAGTACTCCATAAAATCAATGGAACTGTGTGCCATCCGAAAGACATATATGCTACAGATCAAGAAGGAAACTTTAAGTGCCCTGCTCTTGGTTGTGTCAGGATATTTAAAAGAATTGGCTTTCTAAATAAACATGCAAGGACTGTACATCCAACGGATTTAAATGTGCGGCAAACAGTAATGAAGTGGAGCAAAGGGAAATGCAAATTCTGTCAGAGGCAATTTGAAGATTCTCAACATTTTATCGATCATCTTAATCGACACAGCTATCCAAATGTGTACTTTTGTTTGCATTTTAATTGCAATGAGTCGTTTAAGTTGCCAGTCCAGCTTGCTCAGCACACAAAAAGTCACAGGATATTTCAAGCTCAGTGTAGTTTTCCAGAATGCCATGAGCTTTTTGAAGATCTTCCTCTCCTATACGAACATGAGGCTCAGCACTATTTAAGTAAAACACCAGAATCATCTGCACAACCAAGTGAAACAATTCTTTGGGATGTTCTTACAGACTCAAATCCTAATCATCAGGAAAAAGACTCATCTAGTAATGAGAAACAAACTATTAGTCTGCCAGTTTCTACTAGCAAATCAAGGAAAGATTCCACAGAACCAAAGACATGTACAGAAAGTATGGAAAAGAAAACAGATGGTTTAGTTCAGAATGGAAATGAGCATTCTGATGACACTGTTTCTGATATAAGCTTGACAGACCAAAAGATGCCTGACAGAGAGCCAAATTCTGAAAATAATTGTAGTATTAGTGATTTAGTCAATGGACACAGTGGAATAGAGCAGACACCTTTAGTTTCGTCAGATCCTGCTTTGAAAATGGATACAAATAGAATCAGGACAGAAAACGGTTCCATTTTACCCAGTGTTGTACCACAAGAACATAATACCCCGCCAGTATCTCAGGCACCTTCCAAACCAAATCTGACGAGTGAACATACTTCATATGGCTTAATTTTAACAAAGCCGTATGTCAGACCACTGCCTCCCAGTTACCTTGACGAACGGTACCTTAGTATGCCAAAACGCAGAAAATTTCTGACTGATAGAGTAGATGCCTGTTCTGATCAAGATAACGTTTGTAAAAAATCCGTGAAAAGATTAAGATGTGGCAAATGCCTGACCACCTACTGTAATGCAGAAGCACTTGAGGCTCACCTTGCACAAAAGAAATGTCAGACACTCTTTGGATTTGATTCAGATGATGAAAGTAAGTCTTCTATCTTCTCAATAGGTCTATCTGTAGAAATAGAAAATGCCATAGATCTTTATGAGGTTAAGAAGTTAACATTTGTATTGCACAGATGATAAAGCACCACCTCATACATTATTTCTTTTAATTCATACAGACACTGTTAGGTGATGTTACTACTCCTGTTTTATAGATCAGGCAACTGACATTTCACAAGTTAAGTAATTTGCATAGGTGTAGTCTATGAACCTGTGGAAGTCAGAACTTGGACACAGTTTTTCATACTTTTTGGTCATACGCATTCACTGTGTCTAAGGCATTTCTTCAATCCTAGTTTCATGTGATAAAAGTTTTAGAAACAGAGTAATTGTGATGGACATCCATTCATTTGCATGCCAGAATATAAACCAAGTGAAGTTGAGCTGCTTTACAGAAACAGAAGTGAAAAAGAACCAGAAAATAATTGAAAGACAAAACTGAGCAAAACAAGATCTTGCCTTTCTACTAATAACAGTATTTTTTTGAATGAGTAAGAGCATAAAGAGAAATCTGACTTAGAATTCCAGTTGAACTATAAAATTTGAATTAACAGACATGTTCTGTTTTACAGGTGCCTGATAAAAATGTTCCAGAAAGATCTGTCAATCAAGCAGTAGTGTGAAAAAAGCACTGCAAGAAATTGCATCATCAGTTTGCTATTTTCCTGATGGCCTTAATTTTCAAGCGGTCTTGGATTACTAAAGATAAAGACAAAAGCACATTTTCTAGAATGAACTCAGAGAGATGTGCTGGTTTAGACTCCAAAAGGGTTATTACAAAACTCCCAAAGTACCAGTTATCCAGAAAACCACATTTTTTTAAAAAGTTGAGGACTATTATTGCAGCATGTTCGGTTTCACTTATATGAGAAACGTGTTCAGGCAACTAGTCAGAAAGAAATACCAGCTATGGCCTTACAGAAAGGGAAAAGTTAATCCATTATTAAAAAAGGGGGGAGGGGTTGGTTTACAATAAACAACTTAAAAGTATTCTACAAATGAGATTTGTTTTCTTGTCATACATAATCAGATTATGTCCTCCCTTCTTTTCAAACATGGTTTAAAGAACTATTGTTATTTGGTTTATTATAATTTAGAAACTGATACATGAAAATAAAACTTGATTTACCGCCATGCTATCCATAGAAGATTGTAACTTGTTTCCAAGTTGGTTGATCAGACAGAACAGAGTTCAATGAATATTATGCCAGCATCGAAAATTTAAAAAAAAAAAACAAAAGAAACAAAACAACACTTCACTAATAAGCTCTTAATAGAACCTTCCACTTTCCATTTTTGTAATACCAGTGAATTGTTTTTAAAGGCAGCAGTGTCAGTTAAATAGAAAAAGTACCATCAGTAACTTTGGGGAGAGATGGGAGGAATCTAAGACCATAAAGGCTATCTAATTGAAGGAAAACACTGAATTGCAAATAACTCAATGTGAATAATGGTATAAGCACACTGGGATATTTCTATTTGTATATAGAGTAGTGTTAGGACATTGCTTGATGATTCATAGTAAGGTCCTTTTAGACATTAATGTGAGTTATCTAAGTACAGTCCTATAAAAATAACTGGCTGTAAAAAAAAAGTGTCAGCTAAAATCAGGTCAAGAATTCATTGGTTTTATTCAGTTAGGAGAGTTAATTCTAAAATAAGCCATACTACTCATGCTTTCTTATTTATTAGTGATGAATCTGGTCCGAATAGTAATTTTTATATATAAAAGGAAATATTTACACAAAAATTTGCACGGCAGGAACACAGTTAAGGTATATTGATGCTTTTATTTTCCTTGATGACCAGTAATTTTCCTAAGGAAGATTTTAACTTACTAGGCAATGAATTGTTAAAACACAAAATGTTTTTTAAAATACCCACTCAGATGTGTTCCACTTGTACATTCTCTAGAAGAGGAAGCTTAAAAAGACCCTTCTGTTACCTGTTAGTGTGTTAATCTATAGCAGGGATAAAATGAACAAAAATGCAAAGGCAGATTCTTAAAAAATGGAGCTACTAATGCACCATGGTCAACCACATATTCCAATTCTTTCCAACTCATATATTTTTGTTCAAAGCAGATAATCTTATTGGATTCTACTATTACAAATTTTTGAATATTAAGCTTCTTGAATGAAGTCACTAAGGAAGGGGATAGTTTTTCCAACATAGCATCCCGACTTTATTAAATTGGGATTTCCAGGTCGTGAAAGATCTCAAGACAAACAAAAAGCCCAATTTTATTATTTATTCATTCACTACTATGCAATTGATAGTCACGAGTCCATTTCAATCAAATTAAGGTTTTTGTTCTGTTTGTGTAGCCTACATTAGGCTGTGGAATTTACATTTAAATAACAGATAAGTAAACACAACTCAATCAGATTTTTTAATCCTTTAGGGTCAGTTCAAAGGAAAAAAAAACAAGAAAAAAAAAACAAAAAACTTTCTGTACTTCCTGATCCTGAAAATACAATACTTGAGTTCTATTCCAGTTCAGTATAAAATTCATCATGTAATAAAGAGTCTGGTTGGAAACTAGTTCATCTGGACCATGAAGTTTTTTTGAAATCTAATTTCTGCTCTGTACATTTTCCAGAAGTTTAAAATTTACAACTTAATATTTTATCACATTTTTTAACTTTTTATTTTTTATAAGTTGTATCTATTGACAAATCCATGCTGCAAATTATTTTCATTCATTCTGGAGTTCATACCAAGATGTTTTAAACATATTCCACTTGTTAATTTTGTCTTTAATTTGAGGATTTAGTTCTACTTTGGTGTTGCTAAGGGAAAACTGTTTCTGAAACACTTAGATCAAATCGGTTTATACATAATTAAATCAAGGAATGTTTTATAAAAATCTGTTTGGCCATGCTGTTCTAAATCTCTTTATATACTTCTCAAATAATTGCTATTGAAAGTATGTGTACATTTCATTATTTATGTCTTATAAAGCATAAGCTTACATCATTTTGCTTTTGTGGGGTGCATAAACTTCCAACAGTTCTAATTTGGGATTCAGAAGAAAAGGAAGCTTTCTTATTCCTCAGATTCTTCTCTTTTACTTTCTATTCCTTCTATTTTGAGGATATGCTTATCTTACATGGACCAAGTTTCAATCATTTTTTTTAATAAAAATTTCCTTCAAATCATTAACTATAAACTTTCTGCTGTTTCAGTAAGGTCAACAAAAGAGCAAATCTGAATTTTTGCTGCTCAGATATTACAGAAAAGCGGGATCTCCGTGGACAAGGACACTGGTACTTTGGGCTTTAGCCATATTCATTTTTTTAAACCATCGATTATATAATGAGTAGGTAACTTATAACATTGAACTTGTGATTCTTTTCAAATCACACTTGAAGGTTCAGCCGTACTCCTTTCATGTTTGGTTTAAACTGTTGTATGGATGAAAAAACCTAAAAGGGATGATAGTGTTTATCTTTTAATTTATTTAGTACTGTAAAAACACCTTTTCAGAATGCCTAAATGCTGCATATGCATTTTGGAATTGTTTATATGTGAAAGATATTACAGATTCAGCAAGAAAGGAAATTTGTGCTTCCTTGTTGAACATTAAATTATTTTACTTTGCATTTTATAAGAGTACAAATTAAAACTGAGCCATTGAACTGCAATAATACAACAATAGCGTCTCATTTCAAGAAATTTTTTGTACTGTACATAGACTTGTTCAATAAAACATTGTCCTTGTTGGTAATGAAGTGTTCAGTTTTATGTAGCATACTGCTTCAAAAGGAATTAGGCTTAAGGTATGCAGTAAATAAGAAAATTTCTATTATGTCCCATAAGAATAAATTATTTCAATTCATATTACCATACTCAGATGATTTTCAAAAACATTTTTAAAACAGAAACATCTAGAAGCTTACATAAAACATTTTAGACATTATTTTAACTAATGTCCACATGCAGGAATTAAAAGTTGACAATGCTGGTTATTAACGTTTTTGGATACCCTCTGCAAACTTAGTAGGTACATAAATACCAGAACTCTCTAAATGAAAGACAGCGGACGGATTTATCTGTGTTGGTAAATCAAAGATGAAGTGCATCTGGTGGAACTCAAAACAGAGAAGTCACTTTGAAACAAGAAGTGAATATTGATGAAAATGACTTCCTAAAAACACTTCAGTGGGAAAATGTATAAACCAATTAATCTGTACTTAAAAATGAGGTCTTGGGTGTGAGGGCTCCTATTTTTTTGGTTGAGAAACAAAGGAAAACCCCCTACACCCTTTGCTATAACTTGAAACTAGAAAAAAACGAGGGCTTAAGTAGAAAAAGACCCTGTTTGATAGGATAGCAATGCAAATGAAAGGATGGTGCTACGTCCAGTGATTTGCACATATTGCAAACATGCTTTGAAAAACATTGCAAAAGTTACTGAAGCATTCTAGAGCTGAGATCTGGAATTCTCAGTCTATGCTTTTGGCCATATGATTTTAGACTATTAAATGTATTGAGGTATTTAGATAAAGGTATTGGAGTTAATCTAGACTTTTCATTTTTCTTTTCTGAGATTGAGGAATTCTGGAAAGTAACTGAATACTACTAAGTATGCTTCCAAGATAAACGAGGTTGCTTTTCAGAGCTTAATATAAATTCCATACCAGTTTCAAGAATCAACTAATAAAAGGTCAGAAGGTTTGGCTATATATGAAGATGTCAATTGGAGCAGCAATCCAATACTACATGGAATTAAAACAAAGTGGGAGAGCTTAATGCCTTATTTATAAGTGCTATACACTGGAGAAGAAATGTCTCCTGTTTTACTAAGTTATTACATACTAGCTAATTTATTTATGTTACCCCTAATTGTTAAAAGACATGAACACTGTTTTAGAAACCAAGGCTCAAAAACAAGTAACTTGACTGAAGTCACACAGGAGAGGTGGGATTGAAAAATCAGATGTGTCCCCCTAAAACCATAATGCCATGAAGTTTTCATTCTGCCATGCAGTTTTTCCTGCAAATATAGAGCATGAGTGGCTGGCTCTAATACATCCAAACAGAGTGTCAGACTTGCCCAAGGATCAGTGATTTCAGAGACAAAGGATGAAGTCTTAGGTGGCTGATGTTTCATTTTTTTCTATTAGCAGTGATTGTTAAAGTGTGGTCCCCAGAGCAGCAAAATAAACATCACCCAAGAACTTGTTAGAAATGCTAACTTGGGTCGGGGGAGGCGCCTGGATGGTTCACAGTTAAGTGTCTGCCTTTGGCTCAGGGTATGATCCCAGGGTCCTGGGGTGGAGCCTCCGGTTCTTGGGCTCCCTGCTCAAAGAGGAGTCTGCTTCTCCCTCTCCCTTTACCCTTCCCTCAGCCCAATGATCTCTCTCTTGCTTGCTCTCTTTCAAGTAAATAAAAGCAAGAGGCAAGGTTAAGGAACAAATAGCAAGGGGCCCACTGTGGCTAGTCTGGAGTAAGAGACTGAGAGAATAACAGAAAATGAAGACAGGAGGTAAAAAAGCGAAAGTCTTCACAATGGCCTGCAAGGGCCTAGATGTGCAGTGTTTTTTTAAACCCGGTTATTTCACTTAATTTGCTAGCTTCAGGGAAGAGGTGCTAGGTGCTACTGGCATCTAGTGGGTAGAGGCAAGGGATGCTGTTAAACATCCTACAATGCATACAGCCCCAAACAAGGAATTATCCTGCCCAAAATGTTAATAGTGCCTCCCCTGAGAAACCCTGCTCTAGATCAATCTTGACGGCAGCCCTAACCTCACTGCCTCCTCCTCGAGCAGGCTGCTCTGGCCTCCTTCCTGCATGCCAAGCACTCTGCTTCTTCCTTGGAACCTTACCGTTGTTTGTTCCGACAACACTCTTCTGTGCTTCACGCACTTTCATCAGGTCTTTCTTCCAATATTACTTAGAGGAGAAGTTTTTCTTGACAGTCTGTATAAAATAGCAACATCGGCTCCATCCCCCTGCTTCTGATTTCTATTTCTTCAAAGCATTTCCTGACACAATATATAGTTTCTTACAAGTTTATTGTCTGTGTCCTCTCACTAGACTGAAAGCTCCAAAGAAACTGTTATTTGTTCCCAACACAGCAATGTCTGGCAAATAGGTGCTCAATAAATACTCCCCCCACCTTTGTAAATGAAATAATGAATGAAAGAAAAGGTTGGGTATACCTTCCATATAGTCCACACCAGCATGATGAGCACTTGCCATCTTTTTACTTGCAGCACTCTTCAAAACATTCTTGAAAGGAGGGTCTGTGTCATTTCTCTGAATCTTCAATACCTAGCATAGTAGGCACTCATTAATTCTTAATGGAAAATGCAGGATTTTAATCTGTTGAGCAAATAATACCCCAAATAACATCCACTGGCAAATTAGTAATAACCATGCTTTGAATGCCTACGCTACATTTACAGCTTATTTTATAGCTTATATTTAGCTGTGGTATTTTTTAAAAAGTTAGATTTGCTCACCTGTATCTGAAGATATGTACATTTTAACTAGAAAATGGCAATACCCTAATTAAATGTTAGCAAATCTGAAATATGTCTAAAATGTGGAAGAGGCCCGAGGCAAGTGACAATGTGTTTAAGTCTGATTCCTTCATCGGTCTCGGTCGAGCAGAGCATGACTTTCCATTGGTGAATACGAGTTGCTGCCACACTAACAGTAGCAGCTAACATGCACCGAGTTTTTCTAGGTGCCAGGCACTATGACCCGCACCGCCATCCCGGGCAACCCTATGAGGTAGCTAACTCTACCAAGTCCATTTCGAGATAGGAAACTGAAGGACAAAAAGTCTAAGAGGCATGTCCAAGATTACAGTTAGTGAATGGCAGAGTTAAACCCTGGTATTTGGGCTTCCGGAGTCCCAAACCCTGAATTGCTCACGATACAGCATCGTCTAAAACCTAGCCCGCCAGGACTGGAATGCAAGCAACAGCCGATCCTAAATTAAGAAATGAAAGCAAGGGGCGCCTGGGTGGCTCAGTGGGTTAGGCCTGTGCCTTCGGCTCAGGGCATCATCTCAGGATCCTGGGATGGAGTCCCGCTCCGGCTCTCTGCTCAGCAGGGAGCCTGCTTCCCTCTCTCTCTCTGCCTGCCTCTCCGTCTACTTGTGATCTCTCTCTGTCAAATAAGTAAATAAAATCTTAAAAAAAAAGAGAGAGAGAAAAGAAATGAAATTAAGAAGGCAGGGCATAGGTGACTTTTTTTTTTTTAACTTTTCATAGTCTAATGCTAAGCAAAACCAAATTATTTGAACACTGTACTACGTAATTTAAGAATACCAAACTACAGGTGCACCCAAGTTCGAACTGGCCGCAGAGGACGTTCAAGCGCTCCCGGGGGTCAGGCCCACGGGCGGGGAACAGGCGCCTCCATTGGCCGGCCCCGCGGCATCACGGGAGCTTGCCGTGCGCAGGGACCTCCACCCGCTCTCCACGCACCTGCATCTGCGCAGCCCTCCCAGGCGCGTTTTGGGAGGCCGGGCTCCCGAGAGTTCAGGGGCTCACTTTCCGGAACCAGGTCCCTTGTGGGAGATCGCTGTTCTCGTTGCAAACGCAGTACTTCCCAAAAGTGAGATCGGTTGGATTCCCCTCCGTCCTGTCCAGCCCGGAACGACAAGCCGGAGCACCGCGTTTCCTGATTGACCTTGTTGGCAATCACTTCCGCCCAGGGGTTTGGAATACCCGAGGCCCTTTGGCTGCGAACAACAGGAAAGGCACTTCCGGTGTATGTTGCCTAGGCGCCGGCTTGGTGGGCCAGCGGGGCGACATAAGTGGGTCGTCCTCTCCTCCCCACCCCCCTTTTGGGGTTCGAGATGTCGGGGCTCAGCGCTCCGGAGACGGAGGGCTGTCGTAACCTGCTCGGCCTACTAGACAACGATGATATCATGGCCCTGTGCGACACTATCACTAACCGCCTGGTGCAGCCTGAGAACCGCCAAGGTAAGTGTTGACTTTTCTCTCCAAGGGCGGACGCCCCTCCCAAGGCCTCACCCGGACCCCAGGTTGCCAGGACATGGGAGTAGAGGAGGTGCAAGAGGTCGCCCCGCTAAGGCGCCCGGCGGTGCTGGGGCGGGACTCTCGAGAGGGCCGCTCCTTCGCGGCATGGAAACCACCGCGCACCTTCAGGCGGCACTGAAGCTTCACATCCTCGGGTCATGGTGACCCTGGAAACGGCGCGGCTTCCAGGTTTTATCTGGAATGTGGATATGGGGGCAAATGCTTATTTTTTCGACAATTTAGAGTACGTGAATAGTGATTTCAGAATTTCCGGGGAGCCGGGGTGTTTTTCATTTTCAGTTTCGTCTGAGCCGAGGAATCAGCTGCTGCTCAGGCGTTTTTCTTCAAGCTCCGAGGAGGATATCATAAACACTTTGAAGCCTCATAGATAAAACAACTACCGTAATGAAAGAGCAGATAGTTTGATTCCATGTCTCTTTTTGGATCCAGTTTTTTTTCTGAGATGATTTTGTGTAGGAGGAATACGTTACTTTCAGAGCCAAATAAACATTTCTGTAGAGTAGATTTAAAGGGTTATTAATATTTAGCCTGGTTATAGCTACTCCATATAAAAATGTAATCAAGAAGCCTCTGTGTTTATTTCACTTGGCATATCATCTGCACAGTCTTACTTTAAATTTGCTGAATTTTACTTTAAAATGGGGAAACTCCAGACTTCTATGTTAGTGCGACTTAAATAACTACGAAAGCATAATCTGTTTCTCTGCTTTTAAATTGAATTTACGTTTTTGCCATTTAAGAATATCATTTGAAACTTCAAATTTAATGTTTCTTCAGACATTAAAAGAAGAAATTCCTAAGAATTTGGAATGCAGATAGTTTTAGACTTAATAGAGTTCTTAAGCTTTTATGTATTTCGCATGCCAGTCACCACCTAACAGTCCTTGAGTTTGAGTTTAAAAGTATAATAGATAAAAATGTTGCATTTAATTGATGGTGGATCTAAAAGCAAATGAAAAGAAACTTCCCAGTACAGAAATGTTAAATGATTTGGAGAGATAATTCTCAAAGAGGAAGAAAATAATCCTCTATAAGAATATAAAAAGGTAACTATTTATTTATTATGGAAAGATAAATGTATATATATCATTCCATATATATATCCATATATATGGAAAGATAATCTCTTTTTGAAAAGCAATGAAATGAAAACCAAAACCAAAAGTGTTTTTTCCTTTCTACCAGATTGGCAAAAAACTAAGCGTGGTGATCATGCAAAGCAGCTCTTTGACAATTTTTCAAGGAGTGTAAATTAGAACTTGGGTAAACAGGTTTGACATCATCTCCTAAATGGAATTATTTGCTTACTTCGGGGCTCATATTCTGCACCTGAGCTTCTCAAGCTTGAATGTGCTTGTGAATCAGTCCCTCAGGATTCTTGTGAAAAATGCAGATTCTGATTCAATAGTTTTGTTTTAAGATTTTTATTTATTTGTCAGAAAGAAGAGGAAAGAGAGAGAGAGAGGCAGAGGGAGAAGCAGGCTCCCAACCAAGCAAGGAGCCCAGTGCGGGACTCCATCGGGGATCATGGCAGATGCTTAACTGACTGAACCACCCAGGCGTCCCTGATTCAGTAGTTTTGAAGTGAGCCCAGAAATTCAGCATTTCTAGCAAGTTCTCAGATGATCCTTGTGCTGCCTGCCTCTCTGTGCCCTGGGAGACATTTATGAAAATGTTCAAAGTGATGGTGTTTGTAATTGAACATACCCAGTAAAAATCTATGACTGAGGGCGCCTGGGTGTCTCAGGCAGCTGGGCGTCTGCCTTCTGCTCAGGTCATGATCATGGAGTCCTGGGGTCCAGCCCCGCATCAGACTCCTGCTTGGTGGGGAGCCTGCTTCTCCCTTTCCGTCTGCCTGCAGCTGCCTTGCTTGTGGGTGCACGGACGAGCTCACGCGCGCGCTCGCTCTCTCTCTCCCTCTCTCTCTCAAATAAATAAATAAAAATCTTGAAAAAAAAATTTTTGACCAGAAGGATAGATGCCTTGTGATGTAGTCATATAATTTACTGTAGTACAGTTAAATGAATTAATTAAAAAACTAGAGCTACATATATCTACAGATTTATGTCAGAAACAACATTAAGTGAAAAGCTGAGTGTGAAAGACCATCTATATACATATATATATGGATTGGATTTATAGAGTGTTCCAAAAATACCAAACTGTATTGTTTAGGAGTTCACAGTTATGCTGTACAACAAAAAGAAAAGCAAGGGAATTATAAACAGCATTTAGGATAGCAGCTACCTCTAAGGTGGGTGAGTAGAGAAAGGAATAGTGTTAAGTAGGGAGGGTTAAAATGAAGGCCTCAAAGATACTAGTAACATCTTATGTCTTAAGCTATGTGATGTGTACATGGGAGTTCATTTTTTTGCTATTCTGTATTCTTCATGTTAAAAAAAAATCTTTGATCTGTTTAATAAGACATTTTTTAATTAAAAAAGAATACAAGTCTTAGTTCTGCCACTTCTTAGAAGCATGATTGTTGATACCTTTTATATCCTCAACTTTTATTGTCTATAGAGTAAGAAGTTTAAAAATCCTTGCAGATCTAAAATACTGTAATTTTACCTATGTTAGGGGTTATAAATGAATTTAGGTCTATTGGCCTTCTTAGAAAAGAATTTTTTCTCTGGCTCAAATTTTTTTCTTAAAACATGTCATTGTTTAAAAAAAATGTAAAACTTCTATCTTAAGAGAAGTGAAAGGAAGAGGTAAGTATAGGTAGGGAAGTTTAAGTCATAAAGAAAAATTTTTTTAAACCCAAAATCTGACAGCCCAGTTCCTGGTTCTTAAAAATTACCATCTTATGCAAAAGGAGTAATACCATGACAAGAATTTGTAAGTACTATTTGATAGGGTTTCTGCTGACCCTGAACAGATTTACAGGTGATTTGCGATTTTCTACTAATCTTTACAATTTCCTTCTAGATGCCATTCGTGCAATATTAGTGTACAGTCAAAATGTAGAAGAACTTTTGAGGCGTAAGAAAGTCCACCGAGAAGTCATATTTAAGTACTTGGCAATGCAGGGGGTTATTGTACCTCCAGCTACTGAAAAGCACAATCTTATTCAGCATGCAAAGGATTATTGGAAAAAGCAGTCACATCTGAAATTGAAGGAGACACCAGAGCCAGTTAAGACAGAGGACATTAGACTATTTCAACAGGTAAAAATAGATATTATAGTTATACCTTAAATTTTAGTTCTGTCTAAACTCTTCAGATAATCCTAGTTCTGTGGGGACATGGTTAATAATATTTTCGCTTTTATAATTTAGCTTCACTCCATATCCTTTGCATTCTAAAGGAAGACCAGTAAAGCACCTAAAAGAAAGAAAATATCTCTGACATTTAATAATGTATATAAAGTGCTATATTGATTTTTGAGGGAAAAAATGTTTTATCACTTTATCAAACGAGTACTATTGGATTTGTAAAGAGAATGGATAGACTGCAGGATCAATTTAATTTTAAGTTAGCTTCATGTTCTCTGTAATATTCTTGTCCGCTTAAAAAAGAATGCTCTTGTTAGCCCTTTCTCATTTTGAAGACTTCTTTGGTATTAAATTGTAAAAATTCCATGAGAGAAGCTTAAATAATTTTTAACATTTGATTTTTTTTTTTAAGTTAGAAAAAATTCTCTTGTAATAATTTCCTCCAGCTGACATTGTCTGTTCCTATTTCTTTGTATCCACTGGACATTTTAGATGCTGTGGGAATATTTAAATGTTGATTGTATGAACTCTAGGTAATTTGCAAATTTTATTTTTTTAAACAAAGCACAAAAAGACAACCCCCTTTCCAAATCAAATATATAGCTTAATAAATGTCCATAAAGCAGAAACATTTGTAATGACCATGCTGGCCAGGAAATAGAAATTTGCCACCCACTCCAGAAGCCCCTTCCATGAATTTGCAAATTTTAAACTACATACTTTGAATTAGCAAGGTTTTATAGCAAGAGGCATTTGCTTTCACATTAGGAAAGGACCTTCTAAGAGCTTTCTTAGTATGCTAAAGAGAATATTTACTCTGAAATCATACAGATGTGACTTCAAATAGAGTCTGCATTGTGCTAGGTGTGAACTTGAGCAAGTAACTTGACTTTCCTGAGTCTTTTTTACTTTATCTATAAAGCAGGCATAATAATGATAGTATCTGTGTAATTAGGCTTGTGAAGATAAAAGGAAATAGTCCATAAGTGCCAAGCACAGAGCCAAACATATTCAGTCATGGGTGCTCTGTCAGTTAAAGATTTCTTACCATCGAAATGAAGTACTGTGCTCTGAAATATTCTCATCTACTCACATAGATAATAAAATCAAGCTTATCAGGTATATTTTTGCAATAACATTACCCTTTGTAAAAAAGAGAAATAACAGTATAAAATTTATCCCAATCATAAAAAGTAATGTATTTCAGTTGTATTAGAACTCTGTTTAAAGATAGTAAAAAATGCTTATTTGTTACCAACTTATTTTAGTATAGTTTATATTCAACAAATCAACAAACTGTATCCATTTAAAGCATACAGTTTGAAGGTTTTGACAGACTTTGAAATCACTGCCACCATCAAGAGAAAATACTTAATATAAATTATTGTTGACTCTTCATGCTGATTTTTTGAGAGGCTTTGTTAAACCTTAATTTCTTAGCTGAATTTTCAGATGTTTAAGCTGGTAAATTCTATAATGATTTTTCCCCTTTTTGGAAAAACAGTTTACTGTGCATGATGGGTTCGATGAGTTCACCTGTAGTTCATTTAGCTTCTGCTATACTCAACATATGACAACTTAGCTCTGAAAGAGACTAGATAGAAAAAAGATATGGTATGAGAACTGACCTTGGTTATATTTTATATTTTATTTATCTTAATCAGCAGGAAAAAGAAGATAAAAAAGCTGAAAAAGTTGATTTTCGTCGATTAGGAGAAGAATTTTGTCACTGGTTCTTTGAACTTCTTAATTCTCAGAATCCTTTTCTGGGTCCACCTCAAGATGAATGGGGGCCACAGCACTTCTGGCACGATGTCAAGCTTAGGTTTTATTACAACACCTCTGAACAAAACGTGATAGACTACTATGGAGCAGAAATTGTGAGCCTTCGTCTGCTGTCACTAGTGAAAGAAGAGTATCTTTTTCTCAGTCCCAACCTAGATTCCCATGGACTGAAATGTGCTTCTTCTCCCCATGGTCTGGTTATGGTTGGAGTTGCTGGGACTGTCCACCGAGGGAACACTTGTTTGGGCATTTTTGAACAAATTTTTGGACTTATACGCTGCCCTTTTGTGGAAAATACATGGAAAATCAAATTTATCAACTTGAGAATTATTGGAGAGGGTTCTCTTGCTCCTGGAACATCAATGAAACCAGCTGTTACATTTGAACCTAGTGATCTAGAGGCCTTTTATAACGTAATTAGTTTATGTAGTACAAACGAAGTACAGCTTAATGTAAGGCAGACATTGGATAGTGGAACTGGAGACCAGGCTTTAAGCAGTGGAGATGAGGCATTGTTGAACAAAAGAGAACTGAATTTACCCAACCTTCTAAAGCACTGAACATTGTATGTCAGTCTCAAAAACTTTCTATACGAAAACTCCTTTAAATACCCCATCAGTAATGTCTAAGTGATTTCAGGTGTGAGGATTGACATTTTAGTTGAAATATCTGTCTTGATAACAGACTGACATACTATGTGAATACTTGACTCTTTCTACCTGAGTTGCAGCAAATGTTCTAAGAACCAGTGCAGTTCATCAAATAAATCCCTTTTAGATGGTATAACTAACGGTGTGCCTTAGAAACCAGGTAATACTTTCATTTTACTTAGTGGATATTCTGCTAATATTTGTACTTTTCATGTGGGAAAGGTTTAATGTAAACTCAAAGTTACCATTTTAGAAAACTTGAGTGACATTCTCACGCAAAAAGTCCAATAATTTAGCAGGTGGAGAAAAATATACTTCGCCTTTTTAAAATTTGAGGAACATTTTTCAGTTATCTATTAGTAGACCAAGCTAAATATCTTAAAATCTGCAACATTTTCTGAACTCTTTTGGGCAATGATAAATGCTATTCTCTAAACAGACCTAATTCTTATCTAAGGCTTCAGCTAACATTTTTATAGAACATTTATTGTAATACTATATAAAGGAAACATACCATTGAAATTTTTTAAAAGGTATGCCCAGTATGAATTACTATTTTCCTCTTGATTGATCTTGGAAGAGGTGACCAAAACCACCCCCATCCAAAACAAAAAACACACACACAAATTTATAATGTGGGCATATCTGTATACAGATATAGATATACTCCTACATCATAAATTAAAATTAGGATTTTTTGCCTCTAAATTGTTCTACTAGGTTTGACTTAAAAGGTTAAGTTGCTTTAGGGTTTAAATTCTTCGTCACTTGGCAACTACTTGCTGATCTGGGACTTAGTAATTTTAATTTTAAAAAATGCCATATAGAAAAAATTCAGCAGGGAATTGTGATGATGTGTTGTACATGTTATTTTACCTTTAACTCTTCTTGTGATCATCTAGGATAACAAGAATTTTGGAAGCAGGGGGAAAAAACTCATCATTTTTGGTTTTTTAATGCCATACCTTTTACGAGGAGTACAAATTGATACATCCTAAAATAAGAACTTAATAAAGGAGGGAAATTCCTACTGTCTGCTATAAGAATAGTATATTGTTTAGATTTAAAACCAGATTATCATTTTCACCTTTAAGTAGAGTATCATTATAACATGTACTCAATAAATATCAGTAAAGGATAAAATTAAAAACTATTCCCATCTGTATTCTTTGTGGTATTAATGACAAGTACTGCAGAAATATTACTACAGATAGATGCTCAGGATGGGCAGAAGTTGCCTCTAGCTATCTTCAGTATGGACTTTTTGAATTCGTGTAATGCTCAAGTAAGGCTGCAATCTTCGCATGTTCTTTTAATCAACATTAGAAATTTGAAATCTTACTGATAGAACCTCTCGAGAATTGGAACTATGTTTTACTTTCTGTGAATCCCCACAGCTGGACAACACAGTAGGACCTAATGTTTAACTGGATGAAAGAATGAGCAAAAGAAATTTACATACTGTATAAAAGACTTTACTGCATCTAGATTTTGTCTTTGGTTCTTATCAGTGATGGGTTGGTTTGTTTGATCATTTCATCCATTTGAATTTCATATGTGGATACACAGAAACTTTGAGGCTCCAAGCCAACAGATATAACCTTCTTTTAAAATTTACTAAATTTAAAAAGCCCACGGGTGAGAATGGGATAAACTGAAAGGCTATAAATTATAGGAGAAGTATATATTTTTATGCTCAGAGAAAGAAGACCTGGAAGAATTGAAATTTATTCATGAAGTTTAAAGCTTGTTCAAGCCTTTGAGAAGGTTCAGAAGCACACTGCAGATTGAACTCTGCTTTTCTACCGTCCCTTTGTTTTTTATATGTTAGAGAATGGCAGAGACCCCAGCTTTAGGTCCCTTTAGCTTCATTTCACCCTCAAGTGATTTTTTTTTTTTAAACATTTTATTTATTTATTTGAGAGAAGAGAGAGACAGTGAGAGAGAGCATGAGCGAGGAGAAGGTCAGAGGGAGAAGCAGACTCCCCGTGGAGCTGGGAGCCTGATGCGGGACTCGATCCCGGGACTCCAGGATCATGACCTGAGCTGAAGGCAGTCACTCAACCAACTGAGCCACCCAGGCGCCCCCTCAACTGATATTTTGAAAGTTGTTGGAGTCAAGTAGTAGAGAGTACAACACTACACAATTCACAGTGATTGAATGGTCAAACCAGGGGGGCAGCTGGGCTTTATTTACTATAGACTGCTTTGCAGTAGACTAATAGGGCATACGTGAAGTATCTGTTCTTGTTAAAATAAAACAATCTTAAAGTAATAGTTATATTGGGATGTCTTACTAGTATCTAGAATGCCAAAAACAAATTTCATGAGTTTTATTAACTAAATACCAAATAATAGGAAAAAAGCCATCTCTGTTTTATGAAAGCAACTTGCAAATGGCCAACACAGGAAAACTTCATTCCTATGTTTTCAGAAAGATAATATTCTTAAGCTAATGGAAGGCTGAGTACCCACTGCCGTAAGAAAGTATAATAGCACCAGAAAAGGGTTTAAAGAATAGTGGCTTAATTTAAAAAGTCAGCAGTTTTGTGTTTCAACAAAATGGCTCTTATGGCCAAGTAAATGATAAACAGAATAAAATACAATAAAAATATATAAATAAAAAACATAAAAACATGCTCTAATGTTTTTATTAGTATCTGTATTCACAAATATAGATGCCCTTTTCACTGGTTCTTAATTTGGGCTGTAGGGAATGATCATGGATTTTTTGAAAAATGAGAGCTCTGTTCTTTCTCCCCAGAAAAAGTGTTTGCATTTAGTATTACAATTTTTGCATTATTTCACTGAGTTTATGGACTTCCCTAAAGCACATCTGTGACTCCTATAAGCATCCTTATACTTCTCATGTTAAAATCCTGTCATAATAGTTAACATTTCCTCCAAACTACTACTCAATATTAAAATTATTTTTAAGAAAATTTTGTGCCCTTGCTGGAGTCCATAAGCTAGAGGACTAAATCTTACTTATGAATGTAAGGATAATCTCTAGGAAATATATTAGTTTATGATAGTTGTTAATTTGTGGATTTTGTTTTTCAAGACATGCTAAGATAAAACCTACTGAAACAGCCAAGTGAAACAAAAATGTTCAGAATTCATTTTATTTTGGCAAGAGAAATTTATGAACGATAACATGCGTTAGAGAAAGTGTGACAAAAATCTGAAGAGAAAAAGTATTAAAAAAAATTCTCAGGGTACCTGGGTGGCTCAGTCGGTTAAGTGTCTGCCTTCTGCCCAGGCCACTATCTCAGGACTCTGGGAACGTCCTGGGAACTAGCCCTGCCGGTGGATCCTGTCCTGTCTCTTCCTCTCCCTCTGCCCCTCCCCTGCTCCTGCTTGCTCCCTTACTCTCTCGGTTAATAAGTAAAATCTTAAAAAAAGATTTCTCTAGATCTTTACAAAAACTTTATCCTGAGATGTTACTTAGTAATATATACTGCTAATTCTGATGAAGGATTTTAAACATAGGATCATTTCCTCTGAAGGTTTGTGTATGTGACCTCACAACATTCCTTCTCCCCTCACCCATGCTCTTTATAACGTTTGTATATACTCAAGTTTGAATGCAGATAGCACAAATCCAAGTGCTGGGAAAATAGGACTTTTCTGCATCTGGGTTCTCTTCAGGTTTATTTGGCATATATTAACGGAGCATCTACAATTTAAGTCACTGAATCAAGCACAAGATAAAATAATACTCAATAGGTTATTTACCTAAATTTCCTATGTTAAGTTTCAGTTTCCTAGTTTACATGTCTTAAGATGAGAACTGCTTTAGGCCCTTTTTTTTTTTTAGGGTGTGGTTATATCTTTTTTGTATGGGTCAGGAAAGAAGAACACTTAATTGAAATTTTAGATAGCTGTGTGGCCCTAGCTATGCCATGTTGATTGTATCAATGCAGAATATAAGATATTTTGACAGACTATTTAGAGTTAGAAGGAAAATAATTTCAGAACTGTATTAGAGTGCACTAAATCTTTTTAACTTTATTTTTTTCTAGTTTGAAACTTTTCCAGTAGTCCTGCAGTAAAACATTAATATTAAACTGGAGTATTATTTACTATGAGATAGAATGCACTCTAAAATATTAAAACATAGACTCCAGAAATGTGTTACTCATGAAATGTTAATAAAATCACTGGCCTCAAATTTGATACCTCCTAATTTCTACTGCTAGTACTGCCCAGTATTTCCCTTCATAGTCATTTAGTGAGGGTTCTTTGGTTAGCAGTTTTCATCTTCAGGTTTTAGACACCCTGAATGTCAAGTATGAAATTTAGTTACATTTGAATTAATGAATTTAAGAATTGAAGGCTCCTCTGCTGCACAGTGCCAACTGTGTTACTTAATCCATTTTCTGAACAAAAGTTAAAATCAGTAACTATTTAGGAAAGCCTTTTTTCTTGAAGCATTTAGTTTCACAAGTTTGCATTAATCTTTTCCATCTCTTAAAATACTGATGGTTAGTATTTATCTAATTGTTCTCAAATTGTTACATGTAACTTACTATTACCTCCCTAAATAGATGGTAAATTACTAGAACTGGTGACTCTTTTCTAAAAGATTTTCTTAAATTGTAGTGTAATTAACATACGGTGTTACGATAGTTTCAGAGGTCCAATATAGTGGTTCGACAGTTCTGTATATTACTCAGTGCTCATCCTGATAAGTGTATTCTTAACCCCTTTCAGCTATTTTACCCATCAGTTTTTGATGAATCCTTCTGTCTTCAGTATGAAAGGTCATTTGCTAGCTCTGATTTCCAAAGCAAAGTTGCCTTTAGTCTCTATTGTTTATCTAAGTACAGTCTAGGAGTGTTAATGCATGCCATATGCTTGGAATTATACTTCTTAAATTGCTTGGTGATTTAAAACCACTTGAAAAGATACAGAATGCTCATGTATGATATTATAAAAAGGAATAGAGATAATTGGGGTATATAGAAATATATGTAAAAATTTACATGAAATTTCTTGAACTTAGTGTGTCATCACAATCTAATCTTCTTCCCTTCCTATTGTACTTTCAGTGTCAGAAATAGTCTGTTTCACACATTTAATTTCTTGCCATGTCTGGATGCAGTGTATCTACAATATTGCTTTTTATTTCAGCTGCTACTATAATTAGAATTTCTTTACCTAAACATTGACTTAATTATTTCTTTGCTTTAATATTTTTTACATATTTAAAACATTAAAATTTCCTTAAAGTATAGCTTTCATTTCTTCCATGCTCAGAACTTTCAGTATGTATAGCATTACCTCCAAAATAAAATCCAGATTTTAGGGCACCTGGGTGGCTCAGTGGGTTGAGCCTCTGCCTTCAGCTTGGGTCATGATCTCAGGGTCCTGGGATCGAGTCCTGCATCGGGTTCTCTGCTTGGCAGGGAGCCTGCTTCCTCCTCACTCTCTCTGCCTGCTTCTCTTCCTACTTGTGATTTCTCTCTGTCAAATAAATAAATAAAACTGAAAAAAATAAAATCCAGATTTTATAATCTGGTTTTCATCACCATCTAGGTTTGATTTCCCTCATTTTCATGCATTGTTTGGTCCAGCCAACATTTGCTATTAAGTAGTCTTAGTATTTATCCTGTGCTTACTTAGCCCCTGCTTTTATTGGGAAGTATAGACAGCCCTTGATTTATAGTGGTTCGATTTAGGATTTTTCAATGTTACAAAGGTGTGAAATTGAAATGCATTCAGTAGGAATCATACTTTTGTTGTTGTTGTTGTTATTTAAGTAATCTCTACACCCCATGTGGGGCTTGGACTCACGACCCTAAGATCAAGAGTCACATGCTCCGACCTAGCCAGCCAGGCACCCCAGTAGAAACGGTACTTTGAATGAATTTTGGTCTTTTCCCAGGCTAGAGAAGGGGTACAATACTCTCTCTCCGTGCTGGGCAGCAGCAGGTTGTGCCTTGTCCCAGTCAGCCATGTAGTCACAAGGGTGACCCACCAATACACTTAAAATAATTTTGTATCCATACGGTCATTCTGTTTTTCAATTTCTTTCAGTATTCAGTAAGTTACAGGAGATACTTAGCACCTTATTTATCATAAAATAAGTTTTGTATTAGATGATTTTGTCCTACTGTAGGTTAATATAAGTGTTCTGAACACCTTTAAGGTAGGCTAGGCAAAGATCAGGTGTTAAGTAGGTCCTAACCTATTAAATACATTATCAACCTAATGATATTTTCAACTTCTGTTGGGTTTATTGGGATGTAACCCATTGTAAGTCAAAGTAGGTCTGTATACAAAATAGTGAAAGTTAATTTTTTTGTTGTTGCAGATAGTCTGATAATATAAAATTAAAAGGGCTATGATTGAAACAGTTTAAAAATAGAAATGTCTTTAAGTGATGCATTTTTTTCTCTTGAGGTGTTTTATGTCTGTTATCTGTCTAAAATTTTCCTAGCTTTTTGCATGGCTGCTTAATTTTTATCTTTGAGGATTTTTCTTAAATGTTTTCTCTCTTCTGTACGTAGACCCTGTTTTTAATATTTATAAGAGCTCCTGTTTATTTCAGTCCTAACATTTTAAATATTAACTTACTAACTTGTTAATCTCCCCCACTAGATTTTAAACTGAGAGCCGAGTTTATAGCTGTTTATCTTTCATTTTTGTCCATTACCTTGTGCAGACTAAGTATTCAAATTGATATTTATTAAAGCTGTAAATAAGGGAACAAATGATATTTTTTCAGAGCCTTTTATATTCCTAGCCCTTTGCCTGTCTGCTAAAGACAATGCCTAGCATATGTATTAGGTCCTCAATAAATATCTGTTTAATGAATAAAGCCAAAGTTATCTTCCTGAATAATGAAATGTGAGCTCTAATACAATCAACAATAATTTGGTAATTAGAAGTATTAAAGTTTTATTATGCTTTTGTG